CATGGCCTAGGACCTGGATATCTGAGAGACCGCCTCCTGCTGCATACCTCCCAATGGCTAATAAGAACTCATAGGCTGGGCCTCCTCCAGGTGCCATCGACCGGACAATGCCGGCTGGCACCCCCCCCGGGGGAGGGCCTTCTCTGTAGCTGCTCTGGCCCTGTGGAACGATCTACCCGCAGAGATCCGGACCCTTCCCACTCTCTCGGCCTTCCGAAAAGCCACCAAAATCTGGCTGTTCCGGCAGGCCTGGGGCTGTTGACCCCATAAATAAGGCCCATCCCCATCTAGGTTTGAGTTCATGGTGTGTTGTTTTTAAATCTGTTTTTCTCTTTTCCCTATATTTTAGTTCTTATTTTATTCTTGTATTTGTAAGCCGCCCGGAGTCCTACAGAATTGGGTGGCATATAAATTTATTAAATTACAATTACAATTAATTGGATTTTCTTGGTTTTTTTCTTTGAAAATATTTCTTCTTATCCAAGAAGCTTCTTTAGTTTTAATTGACTGGTAGGGAATGGAAGAGTTTATATTCTTTGCAGTCATCTGGTCGCTAGCATTCTGAGGTTCTTTTATTAGCTCTCCATTAGTTCCAGGTTGGCTCTTGCTTTAACGAGCTTCCACACATTGCTTCTTTATGAAAAAATACAAAAAATATTGCTGTATTTTTATAAAAAAATGCAAAACATTGTTTTATTTATAATTTAAAATTATGAAAAATAGCAAAAAGAATACAAATACCTGCATTTTAATGAAAAAAAGAATCATAATCTGTATTGGAAAAGATAGCTTGCTTTTTTTGCATAGGTAACTATGGAATGTAGAGGAATTGTGAGCTCTTGTTGAACATACCCCAAAGATGCTGCATTGTGTGCTCGAAAACTCTTTTAAGTTCCCCTAAATGCAGAGAATTGAGCAACAAACAAGAATTCCAAGATAATTATCTGAATCTTGATACCATTGGAGTTTTTAACCATAGATTTGGATGGGGTATTTGCATAAGCACCAGAAAGTATTCCATAGTAGCTCAGTGAAGTCTGAATGAACACATAGGCAACCATATTTGCAATGGATGCTTCCACCTATGGGTCACTCTTGGTAGATCAAGCCAATGCAATATTTTAAAAAAAACTTATCTTATGTTCTTAAGGAAATTACCAGGGAGAAATGTCTATGCTCAGATGCAAAATGAAAAAGAGCAAGAGATGACCAGCCCTGTAAATCACAGAGAGGATACCCAAAATACCCAGGGGGAGGAATTCATTGATGACGATCTTGATTGTCAAACCCTGGGAAATGCAAGAGGTAAATATAAAATCTCTTTATGAAAATAATGTATATATCTGCTTGGTATTTAAGATGATCCTATGCCAAATAATAATATTGACTTATTATTTCAGCTTCCACAAAATCTTTTCCAGCCATGTCAGATCATTGAAAATATGTTTAAGAGACAGGTGCTCCCTGAGAAAAAACATAGAGAAAATGCTAACAATTGTGAGGATTACTGTAAAGCAGGGGTAGTCACCCTTTTTATACCTACTGCCCACTTTTGTATTTCTGGTAGTATTCAAATTTTCTAACCGCTCACCAGTTTCACAGTAATGGTGATTTATAAAGTAGGGAAGTAACTTTACTTTATAAAATTTATAAAGCAGAGTT